GCAGCTAGCCTTCCCCAGAGCAATTCACAATAGAGGGAGAGACAGAGTGCGAGTGCACGAGAGAGACAGAAGTAGAAATAAGAGAGAAAGAACACCCAAAGTAGACATCTTCATATCTTATATAACCTAATCAAAAAGACAACATACCATCATTTGTGCCATATTCTATTGCCACATAGGCTATCCCTGGTAAATATGGGAGGGAAAAATACAACAGTGTGAAAACCAGAAGATGGACACCATCAGGGATCTTCTTAGAGGCTGCCTACTCTGCCCATGCTCTTGACCTCAGTGATTCAGTTCCAAATGTGTAAGTTGTGAATGGATTCTTATAAGTAATTTAAAAGTTGTTTGAGGTATGTTTCAGATTGCTGAGTCAATGTAAGAATGGATAATTTATGAAGACCATCTTTTGAAATATGACTCTCAAACTGGATAATGGCCATGAGACCACTATTCTAAATCGAGAAGGTATTTTATATATTCAGTGAATATTTCTTAAGATATTATTTTATGCAAGGCTGCAGAAAATGCATAGAAGAGAAACACACATTCCCTGATATCTATGAGTAGCAGGGAAATGAGACTAATGATCATGTACCTGTAACATCAGATTGGGTATAATAATATGCAAGAAAAGTCCTGGGCTAACTAAAAAGGAGGTAAGAAATAAGAAAAGTATAATGGGAGAAGCATAAATTTAAATGTGCTTTAAAAATATGGAGAAATAGAAAGAAACAACAGAATATACATTGACAAAGATGTGGGCAAGTGTAACACATGCATTAATGGTCCAAGGTCTACATAACAGCGTAAAGAAAAAATGTTAGATATTTGGATTTTGTCAGATTCCGGAGAGTATTAAACACCAGCATAGGCTGTAATTAATATGGTGGTTTTAGCCAACTTGAAATAATGGATGAATTTTAGGCAAGTGGAGGAACAGGCTATTTGGAGTTATACCTTAAGCATAACCAAGAATAAAATTTTATAATTAACGATAATATTACTCTATTAAATGTAACAGTCATAAAAATTTAAAGTAATAGATTACATGAATTTTAAATTAAGAAGTTTAACATGCTGTGACAGACAGACCCTGGGGTAGCCCCATGTCCATGCCCTGTATAATTCCCTCCCTCAACTTGAGTGTGGGCAGCACCTGTAACTTGTTTCTAGACAACAGAATATGGCAAAGGTTATGGTATGTCACTCCAATGATCACATTAATACATATACACATATTTTATACACACACACACATATAGATACACACATATATATGGCTGCATCTTGCTAGCATGTAGTACAGACTCCCCTGCTGGCTTTACAGAACCAAGCCACTATGCTATAAACTGTGTATGGAGAGTGCCACATGGGTGGGAACTTTGGGTGACTTTAGGAGCTGAGGATCTCAGTCCTACAAGTGCAATAAACTGAATTCAGCCAAAACCAGTGAGTTGGAAGAGGACCCTGAACTCCAAATGAAATGCAACCTGGCTGACATTTTGATCACAGCCTTTAAAGAACCTGAGCTAAGCTTTGCCTGGACTCCTGACCCAAGGAAACTGTGAGATAACAAATGTCTACTGTTTTACACTTCTAAATATGTGGTAATTTGTCACATAGTAAGAGAAAACTAATATGCATACTAACCAAAACACAGAGAACACATTTACATAATGTCCTGGACTGAATGTTTATGTTGTCCTAAAATTCATGTTAAAATCCTAACCGCCAATGTGATAGTACTAGGAGGTGGGGCTTTGGGGACATAAGTAAGCTATGAGAGTGGAACCCTCCTGAATAATGGGGTTAATGCTGTTATAAAAGAGACCCCAGAGAGCTGTCTCATGCTCTTTCTGCCAAGTGAGGACACGAGAAATTGGCAGTCTACAGCCTGGAAAAGGGACCCTCATAAGAATGCATGCGGGTTGACACTCTTATCTTGGACTTCAAGCCTTTGTTACTGTGATAAATAAATTTCTGTTGCTCATAATTCACCCAGTCTATGGTACTTTGTTACAGCAGCTTGAAACTCAAACACAGAATTAACTCATTTTTAGCATGTCTTGTAAGACCCATGATTACACCAAGGTTAGAATGCTATCCAGGATATTTGCCAGGTGACCTGAACACTATAGTCAACCTCTGAAACTAACAGAATAGAAAACAAACTAGCACTAACATGTTTTGTAATGTTCACTATGCTGTTTATATGTACTCACACATTTAGTCCTCAAATCAGCTCTACAAAATAGGTATTGTTATCTCTATTCTCTAGATTGAGAAATTAAAAGGTTAGAGAGCTATGTAACTTGTACAGGTTTCACACATGGTAAGTATATTTTGGAACCATCATTCAAATCCAGGCAATTTGATTTCTAGGCTTGCATTCTCAATAGCTATACTCTATAGTCCTTCTACTTGCACTCTTGTTCACTCTGCTTTTTTATGCAACAGAGTGTCAGCACATTGTGTATCTAAATTGCTACTCAGTCACCCTCAGCTAAACTAGCTTCTTGAATAGTCCATTTACTTTTTAATAATTTGAAAAATACAGCAAATATTTTTTCATGTATGATGCCTAAACTTTAATATTTATGAAATTTATCTCAATTTTCTATAAATACGTGAATGAAATTTATTTATAGTCCATTGAAATAACTAAAACATATTTTATTTAAAGTTAATACTCTTACAGTAGAAAATATGAAGATAATTGTGAATATCTTTAAGTAAAATGCATACACATTCATCTATCCATTTATCTACATACACAAATACTCTCAGTTGTAAGTTGTATGAAATATTTTAGTTTCCATTTTAGAAGTATTACTTACCTACAGCAGGTTACTCAACCTCTTTGAGAGGTAAAATAGGGATAAAACTAAACAAATAGTTTGAAAATAAAAAGATTCTATCAAATATTGACTTTAGAGATTTTCGGGGGGTAAAGGAACAGAGGGGTGGAAAATGAAGAATAATAAATGTTTAAAATAGCTATATGCCAAGTGCCAAATTTTTATGATGCTCCAATAAACAGATATATCTGTGCCTCATTTTATTGTTTGAAACCTGAGGTGTAGTGATTTACAAAAATTAACAAAGGTTGATAAGAAAGCTAAAAATTGGCCACAAGAATGCAAACCCATATCAACCTGTCTTCAAGCTCTTTGCCTCTCCAATATTTTATTCTTCCCTTACAATAATACCTCCAGCTTGAGGGTTCACAATTCTATATATTTCTAAGAATAAATGCTCTAATAGAATGCACTTTCCCATTAAAATGAACCTTTGGCATTATGCATATGCATTATTTACACCGTTATGTGGTTAATGTTCATTTAAAAATATAAAAAACTACCACTATAAGCACATAACTACCAAAAGTCTAATTAGCAAGTTCCAGAAGCAGTTTTGATGACTAACATCAAATGCAATTATATTCTCTTCTAGAAAGAAAATTCTCTATTTTAAAAAAATAGTTTCTTTCATGGTTCCATGATGTTCATTTTCAGGTAATTCCTGCTTATTACAAATCTAAACTCTCTCTGCTATTATACAAATAAATATCCTGTTAATCAAAAAATAAGAACTTTATATAAAAAGGTCTTATAAGATGGATTATATCAATATAACCATTAGCTATAGTAAACATACTAATAACCTCCCCCAAAAGATTGGGTGTTAGCAGATATATGTTCTAATAATACCTGATTGTTTATTATTAACTATGAAATCACAACAACCTATATTACTTTTTCCAAATCATTTTAATTCTTTGTCTTTCAGTTTATCTATTTACCAAAGAATAATAATGTCAACCTTACTTACATCACAGGGTTATTAAAGAGTAAATGAAGTAAAAGGTTGCCAAAGTGTTTTAAAAAATGTTAAATGCTATATAAATATAGAATAATGTTATTTGTGCATCTGGAAAATGATAAAGTTATTAAAAACAAACAAAAATAAAAAAGTTTTAATAAAATACTTGAGAATTACTGAACTGTTTTATTAACAAACATTGACAACAATTTCTCAGGGACATTATGGAGTCTCTATCTTGATAAAGTTTTAGAAATTGGTAGAGAAATTCAGGCAGAAAGTGAGGATCCTGAGGCCTGTCCTACTCTCATAGTAAACCCCTTGATGAAGAATTCCAAAGAAGACAGGGCACCATGGTTCCCCTCTCTTTTGAGGTAAAGGTTAGGGAAAGAAATGATGTAAACTATTAGGATGCTTTGAAATATAACCTACCTAACCTAAAATTTCTTTTAAGTTACTTTTTAAATTAAAATTATAGATTTAGACACCCATGACAAACTGCTTAATTGATATTATAGCTCAATGATGAAACTGAAAAACTAATTTTACATTAACATTATATATTGAGAACCTTTGTTTGTTGATATTATAAACATCAAGGAAAACTACCATGAGATTTAAAGATGTGCAACTTACAAAGAAAAAATATGCTGTCTAAGTAGCTGACTTACTAGGTCTCAAAAGGTTTATAATAAAATAAATAAAAAAAATAATTACTAGTGTGTTATTCTTGTCATTTTTTCAATAATTCTAGATTCTCCAAAAACCTCAATATTGATTATATTTTAAAAAAATAATACTGAAAAGACCAGCATAATAAAAGATCAGCAAAATGGTAACAAAATGCTCCAAGTACTTTTCTTGCTTATTGATTTCCTTTCAATATTTCAAAACCCAATTCATATTCCACATAAATGTATGCTAATTTTTAGAAAAGAAAGACCAAGTTTGGTAGGAAGAGAAAGACGGCAAGGAGTGAATGCACAGCTCAATACCATAGATGTTGATAAACATTTCTATTGCTATGCTTAACACATCTCTGTAGTCCACTGAAAACTTTTTAAACCTTTGGGCAAAGATATTTAACCAGAAATTACAGAATAAAATAAACATTAGAAAAACAAAAAGAAGCACAATGAGCAAAAGAGAATGTTTACCAAAAGGACTCTTACCTATTTCTTCTAGATCTTCTGTGAGACTTTCGAGTCAATCTTGAAATGGAGTCCTAGGAAAATTCAATCCCAGCATCACATTAGAGTAGCCCTATTAATAGAGAAAAATAATTGTTAACTGCTTAGAAAATTAAGTTTGAATTTATGTCACAATTAGTGCAATGACTTCATAGAACATAAAACATATTCAACCTTAAAAAGGAGAAGTGTTAATGCATTCATTACTTTGTGAATCTTCAAATATGTATGAAATGCTTTTTGTACATTTTAATTTAGAGAACTTTAATTTAGATGCATTGCTTGGTACAAAGCAAAGACCATGCAGACAGCGTAATATGCATTTTCAAGAGATGCAGATTCTGTTTCCCATTCTTACATTGATTTTGCAGGTTTAAACATTTTGGTGATTAAATTTTATAATTTATAGAATAAAATTATTTATCTCTCAAGGTTCCCAACTGAAAACATGACTGATTTCAATTGCCTCTTCAACACATACTTAATGAGCTTTGTAGGCCTTTTCACAATTAACTAATCGGTAGTAAGCATTTTCGCCTTATAATCACAATGTAAGAGTTATCACTTTAATGATTATTTGAATTTGTATTTACCAGACCAATTTCCCAGTTAGCCACTCTCTTTTTCTAGTCACTTCCTTTTTTAGTCTGAAAGATTTAGCTTATCCTTTCTTCGGCTAAAATGTGTTAAATGTATTGAATGAAGGTCCAATAAATTATAGGACTTAGTAGTGAATACATAAGTAAATAGGTTTTGACTCACACACCAACTCTGAGTGATCAGTACTGACTACAGAGAAAGCTGTATGGAGACTAAATCTGGCAACATCTGCCATAGGCATTGAAAGGGATGAGTGACATCACATGCCATCTTTGAGGAACATTTAGACATTTCACAAATTTTATTTAAATAATTTCCAAATGTCTTTGAGCTAAAGAACCTTTTTTTCCACAGAAAACTTAGTGAAGGTCCTATTAAAAATAAAGTATTCCACTACTCAATGACAAAAAACAAATGGTGATTTAGCATCTCTTATGTTATCCTGGATAGAGCTTGAGACCATCATCTGATGTGAAGTATCACAAGAATGGAAGAATAAGTACCACATGTACTCACCATTAAATTGGCACTAACTGATTAACATTAAGGTGCTCACATAGTAGTTATATTCATTAGGGGTTGGGAGGGTGGCATGGGTAAACTCACAACTAATGAATGTAGTGAGCATTGTATGGGAGAAAGACATGCCTCTAATCCTGGCCTGGGTGTGGCAAAGTCATAACATTTAAAACCATAAATGTTTGTGTCCCCATAATATTCTGAAATAAAAAACAAATAAAATATTCCAGTTAAATCATAGCTCCAAATAGTCAGTGCCAACATTACTCCTTTCCCCATATACCTTTGGTATTCCACAAAGTCTTAGGTATTCTGCAGAGCATAAATTGAAACCATTGGTTATTTAATAAAAAGTATTAATGCAACTCAAAAAGTCATAATTATTAAGATAAGTCAAACTCCTGTTCATATTTTATCATTCTTTCTCTATTGCTTCTGTTGTCCACATTTCTCTTGACAAAACTGTGCACATAAGCAGGTACCACTCTTGACTTTCCTTGTGTCTTTCTTTTATAATTATTTTCTGCCTGCTATATGCCATCAAAAGAAGATTTCTTATTAAAACGTAGAAGTCTAAATTATTTCCTAATTTTGTATTTTCTTATTTTCATTTTCCCATATTCATAGGGGATTTTTTTCAATTTTTCCTAAATCAGTTTATAAATTCTACATTTTTAAAGAAAATCCATAAATCCATTTCAAAAGCATACACTGTAAAAGCTCTATTAACATCAAAATAAAATTCAAGGCAAAGAGAGAAAATCTATTTGACAAAATATTAAGATACAATACAAAGCCATGTATCGTTACAGGCATATAGAGTTCAGAAAAAAGCCCACATACATTTGAGAGCTTTATATATGACAACGGTAACATTACAAAGTAAAGGAAAATGTTGGTATTAGCTTGTTCTATGGAGGAAAAATGGTTTCAGAATATGGCAAAAAGTAAAGTTGACTCCCTCTCACATCATATACAAATTTGGATACCAGAGAGATTAAAAAGTTAAATGTGAACTTTACCTTTTCAAAGCCAATAGAAGAAAAATTAGGCAACTATTTTTGAAGAAGTAAAAAACTGTTTCTGAAAAATGACCTAAAAGCATAAATCCTAAGGCATAAAAACAGATAAATGTAGCTAAATCAACATGAAAAATTTTCAGTGAAGTGTACCATAGATAAATTTCTAAGAAATTAGAAATTACCTTCGAAATTAGAAATTTCTAAATTTCTAATAGTCTAAAGTAAACGAAGACTTAAAACCAATGGAGGAATTAATATTAGAATATATACTCAGAGGAAATTAAAAGAAAGTTGAGTGAAAAAAAAAAAAAACTAAAAAGGCAGTTTTCAGAAGAAGCCAGTATAGTTTAAAATTCACAAAATCATTAGTAATCAAGAAGATGCAAATTAAAAAACCAATGACATATCACTTTATGGAATCAGAAGATCATGAATCTGACTGCTGGATTCTGCCTAGTTTGGCAAGAATATGAAAAGATGGAACTCTTGTTTATTGCTAGTGGAAGCATACATAATACAGTTACTCTTTAAAGCAACTAGAAGACATAATATGCCTATATTCTTTATGGACTCAAAGCACCTTGTGCACACCTCTATTATAGCATATATTTGATTAAATTTTATTTCTCTTTTTTGTTTACTTTTTTCTCTCCCACAAGTTTCTCCATTTTCATTACTCAAAACCAGCATTACATTGATAAGTCAAAAAATAGCAATATGCGTATCATTTAGAAATATAGATGTAAATACCTGAAACTTATTGGTACTGTATAGCTGGATGGGGTAAGTGGGAAGGTACAAAGAAAAGGTATGTAAACAAAAAAAAGTAAGATAAAATTTAAGCTATTATGTTCTTTTTTAGATTCCACATACAAGTAAGATCATACAGTATTTGTCTTTCTGTGCCTAGCTTGTTTCACATAGTAATATCCTCCAGTTTCATCCATTTTATTTTGATTTACAGAATTTTATTCTTTTTTAAGGTGGTATAGCATTCCACTGTATGTAAGAGCCTCTTGGTGGAACTGTGTAAACCTGCACTACCATATTTACACAAAATAGGTACAAAATACTTCAAAATCAAATTTCAAATTGCATAAAACGTCTTTTTTCCCTTCAATTACTGAAGTTAATGAACATCTGTTAGTACCAAGTTTGTTGTCTGCTGGAGATGCAGAGATGAAAGGCACTCTGCCTGTAGACCATGCTTAAGGCCAGGCTAAGCATGTAGTAAGTATGCTTTGGAGTGAATATTCCCCAAGGACAAAAACTATAAACGTGATAGATACCATGTAAGCATAAGTGAGCAAAGAGAGATACTGACTATAACAACAATTTGTCACGTGAATATAATAATTCTTTATGAGGCAGGTGGAGGAAGTGTCACACCTGTCTGAATCACAACTAAATCCCCTTCTGAACTTCTCATGAAGTAACAAAAAGAATAATTCTTCTATTCTAATAGCTGAAGACATTTGAGTGCATTTAAATTTTTCTCTACTTCTTATAAAACATTACTGACAATTTTGGTGACATTTAAAATTAGAAAAAGACTCACTGGGCTCATCATGTGGATGTACCACATTTTTCATAGAACAAAGTACAAGTTTTACAAAAACTTTCATGCTAATTAGAACTGCTTGTTAAGATAATTATTCCAATTATTTGAATTAGAATTATTAAGGTCATATAAATTATAAACATGTAAATATATGCAGCCATGATGAGCAAACTGAATAATAAATATCCCAAATAACATAAATACTGTTTAGTATGTCCAACAGGTTGTGGAAGAAAGAAAAATCACACAGTGCTCTTGACACAATTACTAACAGAGTAAAACGTGAAATTGGAAAGGAGAAAGCATTTCAGGCAGTAAAATTAAAGTACAAATTCTGACCCAAAGACTAAAAAATTAAAAAAAAAACACCTTTTAAAACCATAAGTAATAGATTAAAAACAAGTTCCTAGGTTCACATGCAGGCTGGAGTTGAATCTAATTCATTCTACAGAGGCAAGCGCTCAGTGGGGGTCAAAAATACACCAGTATGTGAGTAAAAGGGAATTCCTTGAAAACCCACTTTAGTTTTTATTGTTATTTTTGACTGAGAGTATGATAAGGAAAACAGCAAAGAAAAATTCCAGAATTCTACTATTAGAATCAGTAAAGCAGGTTTAAATAGACTCAGATTATACAGAACAACACACATAGACTTGATTTTCTTTCAAGTTCTTCATTGTGTTATATAGTATTAGTAAGTTTGTCTAAGCCTTTTAAAAAAGCATTAGACTTAAAAGTGCTTTGTATATTTCTTTTCCTATCTCTGAACTTCCCTCCCTTCCTTCTTACTTGGATGAGAAAACAGGTAAGCTTGCCTTCCCTTTGATGCTGATCAGTACTTTTTTTGTTTTTACTGATATACCAAGTTTAATAGATCAGCCTTTACGATCCTCATAGCAAATCATTGTATCTGTATTTTCTTACTTTCTTCTTATTTTCATTGACAAGGAGTCTCATTTTCAACAAAATAACAGTGCTGAAATCTGTCAACATGGCTTAGAGCAAGCAAGTGCACAACATTAACATGGATGAAAATGACTATGCAGCCACTTTACTGACGCTGGAGATGCTTTGTCTGTCTCTTTCCAAACCAGAAGAAATGTGACACAGGTAGTCCAGAGAAACAAAACTCTAACTTCAGAGAAAATATTTCAAACCATGCAAGAAAAAAACAGCATATTGGAAGCTGCAGGAATTCCTAATCATTTGAGGGATTGAACCACAAAGATGTGAAGAGTGTGACAATTCTGGATGATTTAGGATTTGCATGTTCTCTCTACTACTTTTTGAACAATCCCATCCCCAGGTCCCCTCTTTGGGAAGTTGATAGTCCTAATCTGATACCTGTTTTCCAGGTTTCTATCACAATAT